TTGCTATGTTCGCCGTCTACGGTTGCCTTTAACCCGTGCCGGCTTTGAAGTTTCCCGAAACATTCTTCGCGTCGACCGATTCAGCGTTGGGAAAATTGCAGGGTTTTCTGCAATTTCTGGCGGACTTTCCATACTGGTTATGATACCAGCACCAGTCAGGGCTATCCGTCTCTCGAGGTCTAGATACCGACCGCCTACGTGATGTGCTTCTTCGCGGGGTAAGTGACCGTTTACGGTCGTTACGGGGTTTGAGATAACGAGTAAGTGTATGACATAATTCTGTTATGTCGTTCTGGGTGGTTTGAGGCTTTTCTTTGACTGCACAAACCTCGACGTTGGAAGATCTAGTGATTTCGAGAATGCGGTCGGCATATGCAGCCAGCCCGTCTACGGCGTTGTTTTGGAACGATACCAGCACAGCTTTCACCTGTTGAGGAAGTTTTGATAAGAAAAGCTGTTTGAATAGGCCATCATCGAAGGTTCTTTGGCCAATAACTTCTCGCATTTATTGCAACATGTCTGTGGCGGAGCCATGTTGCAGGTCGATGTTGTTGAGCAGTTGGTCTAAACTTTGTCGATCGGTTAGATTTCCGCGTTTGAGGATGGCATGTTTTAACGTTTGGTATGGGTCAGAAACATCACTAGTAAACACACTAGGTGTTACGTACCTGTTGAATTCGCGCGGTAGTGCCTTGACTACTGCGAGGAATTGTGTACGAGTATCGTTTACACCGTGCTCGTAGAAGTCGGCTTCTGCGTAGCGAAACCAAGCTTTGATGTTGTCTGGCCAGAAAGGCATAAGTTGGAAAGAAGGTGGGGATACAGTCTTTAACTTAAACACTTTAGGTGTCTGTTCCGTCATAGTAATATATCAAGTACGAAAATGGACGAGTGGGAAATATATATATATATATACCGAAAAACACAGGAAAAATATCGCAATGTATATAAAAAAAGATAAAAATAAGACAATGATATATAAAATCACAAAAAGGAACAGACTCACAGTTTGCAATTTGGTGTGCCAGATCACCAATGAAGATGTCACAGGTATTCGGAGTTTGACAACGCTTTAACCAGTAACACCTTCGAATATGAAGCGCACCCACCAAGTAAAATCAAAAGACAGAAGCGAGGGGATCGAAGATATATTTGATAAGCTATCAATATATCCAGGATCGTTTGCACTAATCTGGCTAGCGATTGCGGCAGATGTTGAGCACGGCGTTCCCACACGTGATCTGGTGCGGATGCTTGACCGAGCGCCTTCAGCTAGATGAGTCCACTAAAACTGTGGTCAGCATCCAATGTCGAAAACTTACAGAGCTATTTGATTTTGGGGAATCATTCACCGCTACAATATGGTAGCCACTAGTTGTACCAACATCATCACCTAAAGAAGAACTGAATAAAGAAAAAAGTTCTAAATGACACCAAGACTCTGAATTATATTGCTCTTTGGCAATAACTGAAGTCATTAGACAAGACTCAATGGAAAAACCTCTGAGTTAGAATCACCAATACTAATAAGAGGCAAATACAGAAAAATCAACTGGTTCAGTGTATCATATGACTAAAAAGATACAACCAAGACGCAATAATAGCAGTATTATGTTATTTTCAGAATCATTTCTGTTAGTATGATGGTTTGATAAATATGGAACTAGAATCAACAGCAACCGTATCACAACAGTATCACAACAGTATTAACACGCATCAGAATGCGTAGTCATCGAATTGAAATAGAGTAAGTCTGGATAGAGTCGAACTGTTCTAGTCTGCATTGCATTAAAATGTGTGTTAAATGTCAAGATTGTCACTTAGTCAGCACGTCTCAAATATTTACTGACCAGTTTAATTATATGATTTACAGATGAGCAGATTGACAAGCGACCAAACAATGAAGCATTAAAGGATCTCTATACTGGATATTAAAATTAATCGCAAAACTGAGTACGATTTTACCAACTGAACCGAAGTAACGAAATTGACAGTCATGTAATCGGTCAGAATTTGTAGTCCGAAATGAGTGTTCAGATTTGCAGGATTGAAATAACAGTACCGAACCCCATAAGAATGTCCTGATAATCCTGGAGCCATGGGTCTACCATCCTACGATAGCTTTTTACTCTCCTTTGGACAGCATCGGCATAGCTATTTGTGTTTGTTGAGGCATATCCTCCGTTTACCACAACACAATAACGACACGTCTGATGTTAACCTTTCGTTTAGAAATTGTATCGGACGATTTGAACATAATGTAATTATAAAATATATATGTATTCTTAAGTCTCACCGACCAAATATATTATATAGAAAATGAAATTAGTAGTACAGACAGTATGTCATCATAACACTTCGTTTCAAACCATATGTCTCTTACACAATCAGTCAGTCAGCTACAACGTAGGATCAGGCACATATGTGCATCGGTCCAAGTTACAATACATCACTAGCACAACAAGATGAACACCGGATTCATAGAAGTAGTTAATTCAGTGGTGATAATATATAAAAGAAAGATAGCATATAAGCATATAGTACAGGAAGAAAGAATTAGTTCCTAGAAAGAAAGATATGAAGCGATTTTAATCTCACAGTTTAAGTGGAGACAGAGAGTGTATACACCGACGCCTTTGTGATTGATTCTGAGCAATATCACCCACAGTCTGCGACTGGATTAATACTTACTTAAATCGGTTATTTCACAGACTTAGTTTCATTAATTGCTCTTACTGCCTTCTCTTCGTACTAGAATCATTTGTGATGGTCACAGTATGATTATAATTAATTTCATTAGTAATGCATATGGATTCTTCACACCCTCTTAACATCGCTAGCACAACAAGATGAACACCGGATTCATAGAAGTAAATAATTCAGTGGTGATAGCATATAAGGATATATTTCAGGAAGAAAGAATTAGTTCCTAGAAAGAAAGATATGAAGCGATTTTAATCTCACAGTTTAAGTGGAGACAGAGAGTGTACACACCGACGCCTTTGTGATTGATTCTGAGCAATATCACCCACAGTCTCCAACCATTGGTTACGACAGTCACACGGACACCAACCTAGTAATCTTCATCTACCAACATGGCTCAGATTAGAAGTCAGTGACTTCAATGACTGATGACACGTTTTGGTTTGGCAGCCTTTAACTTTGTCCCATCCGTACGAAACATTAATCAAAATTACGGTGGATCTGCACAGTATATCTATCGAAAAAACTTTGTCAGCAAAAAACGAGAGATAAAGATTGTTTTTAACGCATGGTCAAAACGGTTCCAATACTGAACATATAGGACTGGATTTTAAATATTGGGGGGGGCAGGTTATATTTTTGATGTCGTGTAATGGTATGTTCTTTATTGCTATTACTATTGAGTTCTTACTCGACCATTGTATGACGTCTATTATTGTAGTTACTTTTATGGGTGTTATGCCCCGATAAGAATAGTGAGTGTTAATTTTTGGTGTCCGTTTGTAGACCAATACTATAAGTATAATTTTATGGTATAATTGTTAATTAAATAAGCCATTCATATTCATGTCTCTCTTATAATAAGCTTTATTTTAAACTATGAACTGTTATTATACGATTTTCCATTCTTGGATTATTCCCTGTTTATTAATCACTACCTCCCACGTTCACAGCCACATTTGGCCAAATTTTTTACAAATGTTATTTTCTATTTTATGGTACGTTGTGGTTCGCTTTTCTGGTATATAAACCGAGTATGTTCGAAATACGTGATTCATATCGCAGAGGCTCGGATTGGTGTTCTGAACTTAACTGGCTGGGTTAGGCAGGAAGCAGGGCCAATCAGAACTCTTCAGTAATGCGAACGCATAGATATAAACAGAATAAAACCTAAAACGACCAGATTTCACAGTATCACGCCATCCTACTTTTGTTAATCTGATTTCGCACTATGATGATATGGCTTGTCAAATGACACAAATTGGCAATAGGTCTCACATCGGTCTACGGCTAATTGGTCGTGCATAAACATTGTTGAAACTTACAGAGTTCTTTTCTACCACACACATATGTTATGAAAACAATACCTCAAAATATAAGTCAATTTATCAATCTTGTACTTTTTTTACATTGACCATATTCCAGACACTTAATCTGTTGGAGAAATTATGCAATCTAGTCACTGGACAACCATCTCTTCGACTAGATGGTCAGACAACGAATAAACAACGCGCTGAAGTTGTTCAGAGAATCAATGATCCGAAATCTCATGATCGTAAGTCGTTTGAAAAACTTGTCATTGACACGTTCATGAAATGGGTTGTTTTTATGAATCAAAGCTTTTGAATGACGACAATCTGGATACGATTTCCCTAGGTCTTCGTTTCAGTCTCCCTAAAGTTGTTCATTTTCCCGCTTATTGAAGCAAGATTTTGTTGGTTATAAATAAGATAACGCGATGTAGTTGGATGAATAGGTCCACTTATTTTTGGTGAAGGCAAATGACACTACTTGATTGGTCTAACTAAAACAAGTCCAACATGTTCCGGCTCCGATTGGAATCCAGAACATTGTGCGTCGTCTATTGAATCACCGAACCAACGGAACATAAACTCGAAGCCCTTATATCAATAAACTGGAATTGTCTTTACTTCATTCATTGCACAAAATTATTTTTAACTGATGAATGTCCATTTTTACTTTATACCAAGTCAGTACCTACATGTTTGTGTTTTATGTGTGCGCCTAACGAGATTATTTAACCAAGCACATTATATCCTGGTTGTGATATCACTTCCTGTCTCATTCAGACCCATTGAATTCGTTTAAAGATTTCGACGAAACGATTGAGTTACGCGTAAAAGTCACTAAGTCTAAAGTAAAAGAATTGCCTAGAAAAACGATATTAGTAATCATAATAAACATAAGTAATGAAGTTTACATAAACTCCAAACTGTGACATTTCTAAAGCCTTTATATTTTCAAAGTACGATCAAAATGGAAATACTTTTTACAATGACTTTTTAATAGCAGTTCACAAAAACGTGACACTGTGTCCAATTCAAAAATGACAGAACAAATTGAAAGGGGAACTCGCAACACTAAATATGGAGATTCTCTGCAGATAAAAAAATCTTGAGAGAATACGATTACAATAATGGATGAATTAAATGTCACAAATTGATGTAAATACTTGGAACTAACACATCATCAATTGACAATATAAGCAATGTGTTCAAAAATGATTAGAAATAAATTAAGTTACTGAATATTAGTAAGTAATATAGTTTTTGCACAAAAAAAGAGAAAGAAAACGAAGTGGGATTAAAAATCACGAAGGGAATCTTTACGTGTGAAAACAAGCAGTCTGGCTTCTAGGTTAGTGAATATAAAATTTCGTTCTATCCATTAGTAATTTACTTATTATATCTTATGAACCCGAGCTTGCATATTAAAGCATACAAATTCGACACAATAGTGATTACATAATAGTCCATCGGTAGTTATTAGTCTAAAGCAAATATTGAAAAGTCTTTGATGGTTTATTTATGGAAAAATAAATTTAACAATCTGAGTTACGACTGTTCAATATTCTGCATTACTCAGAAATGGAATTGACTTAATCAATATCTGGTACTATATCGGCTGTCTAGATGAATACTTCGATGTTGCTCATCTTTCTCACCTGATTATCTTTTAGAATGGGTATAGCAGTTAAATGTAGGGTGTATATTTATGATAACTAGAATTTTTACACGCCTACACGATTTATCCTTACTTTTGAACAGATGAATGATCCTAACCATCCTAGTCATTTTGTCGCCTATGTATGACCTTTAGCGCATATGATGGTGCGTATCTGTCTATATGCTTGCTTGTATCTTTTGGTACCATAGATATTGAGTCACGTTTCAATTCAATTGAGTAGTCCGAGAAGCCTTTCTCCATGTTCACACATACAATCGTGAATGGCAAACGAAAATTCATGTAGTAGTGAACTGTGTAAGTCACACATTCTGAATATCTTTCGACTAAAAAATTTGGCTTAATCAGTGACATTTTAATCCGTAACAGGTATGACTTAAAATCTACTGCATAGGCTTCTATATAGTTATTAAGCCCAATTTCACTATCTAACTTTTCATATGAAAGAAATTACTCAGAACTAATTACTTTTTCAGTGACACTGTTGTAATTTTCAATTTTCATTCACAATAACAGATGCATACGAATTATCTTTAGCACATAAATAATAGTTAGATTGGTATACATAAAATAGTGTGCACGACAATTCAATAGGACTGTAGTATACAATGCTCGAACAGGGAGTTTCGTGTCTATTTAATTTATATGCATATAATCACAGAGTTATCTCACACAAAAAGAATTTTTTTAAAGTTAGAGGTACTTACTTTTATCAGTTAGTTTTGGTGCAATGACATCACATGTGCGTCTTAAAAAGAAACTGTTCAATAGTCGGAATAATTTGGCTGATGGACTTTCTAAATCATCACTATTTTTCTCATAGTCTGTATAACTCCAAGAATCACAATCATCATCATTATTGTGAAGATTGTTTTTAACATTTTGTACTAAGTTACGACCATTTAATAATGGAATAACAAATTGACGACGAAACTCTTCTAAACTTGAAGTTAAACGTCCTGGTACACAGAAATTAGCCAATGACCATAATTCATTCAAGTGATTTTGTAATGGAGTCCCAGTTAATAGTAAACGTCTACGTGCACGTAGTCGACAAAGTGCCTAAATTAAAAAATACAGGAATATAGAATTAAAATATATTTCAACTAATTGAAGATTGATGACGATAGTGAATGAAAAGCAATCTATTGAGGATCGCACAAATATCACATTCAATAAAATATGAACCAGCGACTTTAAATTATCCGACTAGTTCCTCCGAAATTGATAGCACTTGGTTGGTATGTTTAATTACAGTGATCTTTGATTGATCAATGTTTAAAGGAAGACATGTCTCGGTACATTTATCATAAAAGAATATTTTATAATGCAAATTTCATTTTGTTAACTCAGTGCTTTGTACCTGCATCAATAACCTCGTGTTTGAGGCCTGAACATGATTGAAGGGTTGTTTCATTGAGTGATTGTACGGATCACATAATCAAGTAACGTGATCTAGTGTTTATTGCTAGTAGTCTGCACAAGCCAACCTATGCAATAACAGACTGACAAATAATTTATCGACTAAAATATGTATATAATGATCCATCGTTATATTACATATTCTGTGTACCAATAAACAAACGATTCCAAACAACCTACCATAGTTGTATTGATATTGGAATTTTTCAATCTATGCCCTTCGTCACATACAACCATATCCAAGTCGGAAATTTCATAGATTTCACTAGTATGCTGTAGAAACATTTCATACGACATAAGAATAACCCGCGGTGAATCACTGGACATTGTTAGGTAGTCCTGCAAGAAAAAAATAGGAAAAAAATCAGTTGCCGATAAAGAAAGGTGGGAAATAATGAAAAAATTCAACAAAAACTGTTGTTTATATTACCATTATTACAAGTTTTAGTTATCCCATTGTTGATATATAGAACAAAATTTTGATCAATTCTTGTTGGAATATGTGAATGTGATAAATACAGATCGCCTTGATACAGTGATTTTGTCACAAGCCTTATAGAGAAGATGGATTTTGAGGAGCAGCGAAATTCAGGAGGCGCGTTTTGACCAGTTTGCGACTCGTCAGTTGAACGTACCTGCATCGTGGTTTTGACATGTACATTGAGACTCAAACTCACGATGCAGATATGGTAAGAGATTGATCCTGAATATCGACACGAAAAATTACAAATGGTTATAAAGAATTTTTCTATGTTGTTATAAAAATGTTACTGGTTTTAGGATGCGTTACAGATGACATTCCAGTCACATGTAAACGAAATGGCCACTTGTCATAACGTGAAACTTTAGGACCAGAAAGAGACAAAAGTCATCAAAATAAAAATATAGATAAAACTGTTTAGGTAATTTATTTATAGTTCATATGTTCAATTTTTGAACCATACTAAGCATGAGTGTTAATTATATTGCTTGGCTGCTCAAATCGAAGTAGATAGAGCAAGGATCAAACACGTAAATAAGTTGTTGAAAGTCCGATTGTTTAACCGCTAAGCAACTAGCTCTACATATACTGTTTACATGATTCTCAATAATAATCAAATTATTCTACAAATAATCAGAAACAGAATAATAGGACATAATCAAGTAAAAACTCACTTTAACAGAATGATTTTGATCTACACAATACACGGGTAACTGTTCACGACCTAACCATTTGGAGAATTCCTTTAACCAATTCTAACATGATGTGAATAAGAGAGGAAAGGCAGAATATATGATAAAGGCCAAAAAATATTAATAAGATTAAGTTGTATTTTAAAAATTATTAATAAAATTACCTGAACAAGTGTACCTGGAGTTACAATAAGGCAACGTCGAATAACCGGTCTACCTCCGTACGGTCCTTGTTTAATTAATAACCAAATAGTGGCAATAGCTTGAACTGTCTTACCAAGACCCATTTCATCCCTAATAAATTAACAAAAACTTATTAAGAATGACGTTACCTTCTAATTTACATAATGAATATAATAGCAATGGTAATGTGTTGTAGTTGAGATAGAGCATAGTAGGATAAATATAGCTTTAAGAATGTCAAGAAAATACACTTGCATAGTCTGATACAGGCTAATTAAACACCACCAAATGTATTCTGTGTTAATAATACAGTACAGTAGTATCTTACAGACCGATAAATCGTAAGTCAGTCAGTCAGCTACAACGTAGGATCAGGCACATATGTGCATCGGTCCAAGTTACAATACATCACTAGCACAACAAGATGAACACCGGATTCATAGAAGTAGTTAATTCAGTGGTGATAATATATAAAAGAAAGATAGCATATAAGCATATAGTACAGGAAGAAAGAATTAGTTCCTAGAAAGAAAGATATGAAGCGATTTTAATCTCACAGTTTAAGTGGAGACAGAGAGTGTATACACCGACGCCATTGTGATCGATTCTCAGCCATGTCACCCACAGTCTCCAACCATTGGTTACGATGGTCACACGGACCCCAAACAAGTAGTCTGCATCTACCACCAACATGGCTCAACCATCTCAGTCGATGAAGATTCTTAGCCTCATCAACTGATTTGCCATCATTCTCTAATACCTTACGCCTAACCTCACTATTACTTACCCGGTGATCCCAGAAGATGCGAGTAATATTTCTAAGACATCATTGATCAAATACTAGTAGCTTACGAATATCTTCTACTCTTAGTGGCCACGTTTCGCAGCCGTAAAGTTGTTATATCTAGAAATGGTTGATTTACTTGATATAACGCGTACAACTGAACACACGAACGCCCAAACCCTTCCAAGTCGCAAAGAAAAGACAGAAGACTAGTGAAAGGAATGTTATTCCAAACAGTGTCAATTATGGGTACAAATTGTCAGGTATTTATAGTTTTAGTAAGAATAAAAATCATCATTATAGTCCTCCAATCAGCATACAGGGGGTTATTAGCCTTGTCCAATCGGGAAGCTACACGTAGGGATTCTAAAATATCCTTCCTAACGGTGATTGGATGGAATATCTTCGGCTCCTTCTGAACCTCTTATAGCTTCCTCGAGTTCATCCGTGGTCCGTCGTCACAAAAGTAAAACAGAACGAACTGCCGCGCAGTATACTCGCCCCTTAATTGATAGACGGATATCTCACCTTCGTCATAGGTGACGTAATTTGGCAAAAGCCAGACTGGCTTCCTACCCACTAATGCATGGTCCAATTTTAAACGTTGTTGAGTATATAATGAACTGGAGAACCGTGCACCTATTTATATCCGATAATTTTGATGTTCGATTATTTTTCCCTGGGGAGTTTGAACCAGATTGCCAGGCGAAACGTTGAATTCACTTCGAATTTATTCGCTGAGATTTTACAAACACATTTTTCCCCTTTAATGTCTCACATCATCTCGGCGCCCAATACTATGAAACTATTCAAACAAATTTGTCGAACGTCCTTATTTATCATAAGTATATTGTTAACATCTACTGAAGTTTAGTAAACTCTTGGATGTTGCTGTGGTTTTGACAAATCCTTCATCCCTAGCTTTTCTAATATTCCAATTTTTATCGACTTCCATTTAGGATAGCCATCTTATTCACTGACTGAACTTGGTTTAGTTGTATGATTCCATTCTTTGCGGGATATACATTTTATTTGTTTACTGTCAGACAAGTATATTGTTTTGAACAGATAGCGGCTCATTTTGGAGCTACTCAATTGAGAATAAACCTGCTCTTCTTGAGTTAAAACATTATTCTTGTGTTGACGAGATTCTCTTTATTTTCTTCTAAGTTATTGCTACCCATCATCAATGTTTTGTGAGATTTTGGTCCACTTTGATATCAGTACGTTTATTTTCACCACTGTAGTGATAGACCTAATCTAAAAATTGTAGCTTTGTCATGATATGACTACCTTATCCTTGAAACTTTGCGTGGAATTCACATTTGTCTATACTGACTCTTTCTACATGATAATCCGCAATATGGTCGTTCGCACTTCTAATGAACACATCTGAGCGGGGGATAAAATAAAACATTTGTTATGAGAAGGAACACGTTAAATAGTGACCACACTCGTCTGGTGGAGATAATACATCTCAATTTTGTTTACATGCTTACGGTTTTTGACTATCTTTAAGTACTATACATTGAATTTAAATCTGAGTAACGATATATTCAGGTTCAAAGATCCTGTGGTTATGTGCCAATACCAATACACTACCATCCTACCTGAATCAGTGCGACGTTGGTTTTATAACAAAAACAATGAAAATAATAGGAATCCTCTGGTATCGATAAACTGAAGGATAAATTAAAAGGGAAGCGGCAGCAGCTGATCGGGAAATACATGTGATAATTTCAAAGTTATTGGCTTCGAGAATCGTATGGTTGATAACCAACAGTACTACAGTTCACTTACTTACTGTTTCCAGTTTACCTTATAAGATTGTTATTGTAACAGGAGCTGCATAAACTGCTCAATCAAAGTGTGATTCATTCGCAATTATGATAGAATAAAATGAAGACATTCAGTGATAAGCTACATAATATCAAGTAAAAGGATCGGTAAACTAAATTTATACGCCAGTCGAGTGACAATTGTCACATGAAAAATGAAAAAAGCTTACAAATAATGGTACCACACCTTACGTATAAGGGCAAGTATGACTTTTGTGCTGATCGAAAATTCCCCTGTACATTAATGCGCGTCTAACTTATAACGAAGTAAAATATTAACGATTATACTACAATTTTCTCATTATCTATTTGCGACGATTAAATATATTGAGTTCGACTACTTCAGATTATCACGGTCAAACAAAGTGTTAATATTACATGAAATAGTATATGAATTTAGCAAAGAATACGAAAGAGTCTCATAACAAGAAAAACATTTAAATATTCACAGGAAAAAATAGTGCGAGATTCTTTTACGTACTCTCACAGAACCATCCAAAATGGATCCTACACCTGAGCCTAAAATCTCTCCACGTACCACAGTATCACCCTAGATTCATTCCGTAATAACTACCCAAGATGACTAGACAAAGATGATAAGGTTTGTAGGGCATCAAATTCAACTGCATTGTATGGGAAGTACTTCCTGGGAAATACAGGTGAGCGAATCTATGACAGTAATCGTCTGAACATATGTATGTGTGTAAGACCAGGTATTTAGAGCTATCAAAATCTCAATGGTTCAATGAATATCATTTCTTGTCCTCTGAAAGGCTTGTGATTATGCATAGAAAATAACCGCCCTCCCTCTCGGATGCCGTTTCGTGGAACGGCAATTTCGTAGTCACTCGAATTCAAATCAAATTGAATGAAAACTTTGTTCTATAAAGATGTATAAGGATATATAGATAGTGATTGTGTTATTTGAGTTTTAAAGTAGCTTGTCTTATTGCTGTTTAACTGCGTTAAGTTGTTGGCACGAACTTACCTGTCAAGTGGAAATAGCGCTCAATTTGTTTCGGAGTTTGACTCAGCCCAAGCTACTGTCTGATTGTATTCACGTGGACATATTCTTTTTATTTTGTGGTATTAAAAAGTGGTTTGCCAGAGGGAAAATCAAGTTCTTCGTGAATTGAACTCACTAGATGGTATGCGGGACTGTATATTGTCACTTTTAACCGCGTTATTCAATTTGGGGATATAATTCTCTGTGCTGTCACTCATCGTTCTAACATTTAAGTTACTAAGTAGTTGCTGTTTGTCCAGTCATTCAGGTTTCTTCCCAATTCTAACGAACGACTTAGGCTAAATGACGCTTTTAAACCAGTACTGTAAATCACATTCCTTATCCATCACACGTGTGATGGATAAGGAATGTGATTTACAGTTGACGGTTAAGGATAGTGATTAGATTGAGGGTTTTTATCACGAACTGACATAAGTTAGAATGTTAAGACGCTATTTAGCCAAATGGATAGAGTTTCGCGCCGAAGCCCAAGACCTGTCATCGTAAATCTGGTTCATTCATATAATATAGTCTCGACGTTTTCAATTATGCAGTTCTGCTGTTGTAGATTTTACGGAACTAGTGATTTTCTTTCTAGAGTAAACAGTCCACTGGGAATTATTCACCTAATCAATCTATCATAACACTGTCAGGACTGGTCTGCACCATCACCCAGATTGGCTTTACAGCATGAATGAGCGTTCGATACGTCACGTTTCCTTTAGGTCTTATACTGGTAAAGGATTGGTTTCCGATGAAATATCAAGGGGTTTACACGGCAGGAATATGGCTGTTGAATATAGTCGACATGAGTTAAATACAGACGTAGCGTTCGTGCTTCTGATGTTGAGCGTCTCGAAAACACTGTTGAGATGTTACAGAACGGCCAGGTGAGCAACTCTGAGGTTATACGCAGGGTACTAGGGGAAGATGGCAAATCACCTGATGGGACCATATATGTTCACCGACCGAGATGTTCCAGGCATGTGTTGCGTGTAACCAACCAATACCGACCTCGGAGTGCAACTTTGGCAAACTTGGAAAAACGCCAGGAACAGTTAAACAATGGCTCGATATCAGTTCATTATATCTCTGACTGTTGGTCTGGGCTATGTTTGTAGATCACCTGGTTGGCATCCGCACAATAATGTCAAACACTGGTTATAGATAATGGGTGATATGGTTCAGATGCAGATGTTGTATGTTTGTGTTTCTCCACACGCCTCTTCACCGATTTTTTCAAAACCACAATCTCGATGTTTATTACGACTAGACCATTGAGGAAAGACAAAGTAGGGTTATAAGACTATGTGCATAGAAATAGAAATATGTTTTGGAATCCTCAGCCATAAGTATTCCTATTATTCAGTGAATCAGTAATGGTGTGGTTTGCTTTAAAGTCCGCATTTTACAAAGATCATTTTAATTAACGGACTGCGAATCAGTTCTTTCTGGTTTCCTTCACGCTGCGAAATG